AAATCCATATGGGAATAGAGGGGGAGGGGATTAGGAGTCAAAAACAGATCAACAGTGATAAACATCTTTCCTCGATACTTACTGGAGCTTTTCACATTTGGAAAATCCTTTTTAATGCTTCTATTCACTGTAATCAAAGTAACTTTATCGTGTTAAAAATACACCTTTATACTTCAATGTTCCCTTTCTGGAATATCTACATTTCTTAACTCACAGTAAAAAATAATCATCATCTTTCTATGATAACTTACTGTTTGTTCAATAAAATGATTTTTTTTCATTACGCTCATTGATTTATGTATAAAAATATTTGAATTTTAAATTTTATATGAATCTTTTAATTTTGCTTGGAGAAAAGTAAGAAAAAAAGCTATTTTTTTTTAAAGCCTATATACTATTTATTTTAGCAATCTGTGGATAACTTGGCAACATCGTTTCACAGTAAGCTGTTGCTAGTCTATGGGGACAAAAGGATAAATCAAAGAAATCTGTGTCAATGACTTCAGAGATTTTAGCATTTTGACTAAAACATTCAGGACCATGCTCAGCAGGTACACAGTCAACCATCAGAGCTTATGAAAACACATCAGTCATCGAGAAACTTGTCCAAAATAACAGATGCATCACCAACAGTCATACAGCACACAGATACAACAAAAGGGTCTATGTTAACACTAATCTTAAGATGGGAGATACAAAAGAATTGGGCTCACTGGGTTACAGGGTTCTTGGCAAGGAAGATGATGCAAATCAAGGAGAATGTGTGCAATGATGCTTTGCAAAGTTTCTCAAGGGATTGTCCATAATAAAATTCTACTTTTGAAAATGTATTCAGATCTTGTAAAAAAAAAGTTGATGTTGGCTATGATAGTATTACTACTATTATTTCCAAGGACACTGCTTGTAAAATGCTCTAAGAAATGCAGTCATGGGTCACAAAGTAAGGATGCTTTTACCTCTCCTAGGAACAGTGCTCATCCAAAAAAATTAAGTAAAAACCTCATTGATATTGATATTAGCAATAAACTTGATGCTCTTAGTAATACTAGTAATGCTAATGTAATTGACAATGCAAGTGCTATGTACACCAGTAATGCACTGTTAAAAAAAGTAGCACCTTTAGAATTAAGCCTAAACAATTATCTCTTCATTGAAATTCAATGATTTTGTCAAAAAACTTTTCTTTGATACTACTGCCATTTTTGTGTTCTGAATTTCTGGAGAATTTCTACAAATTACCCCAAATAGTAAGAATGACTGCAGAATTATAACAAGTTATTTATTGAAAAATAGCTTCCAACATTGTTTTTCACCCCCCAAAAAATGTCGAGACGATCCAAGTTGTACTCGGGTTTCCCTCTGACTGCACTTTGTAGACAAAGTAAAATATAAATTAATCCATGAAGGATTTAATATCATTAAGGTAGCCTAAATGATTACACTTAAAACAAGACCATGTTTCGGATCCAATTTGTGAATGAGCCTGGAGTAGGAAAAAATTTATTGCCTTTTTTCTTTTCCTGTGGAACCTTATAAATTCAAAGGAAATGTAGCCCAGTGTCTCTACTGTCAATATTTTTATCATCCTTCTAGTGATTGCTAACTTCTACAAAGATTTATAGAGCGTGCATTTCTACACAAAAGTTCTGACTGCCAAGTGAAGTGGATTTCAAAGCTTATCTGTTGCAGCTGTGGAGGTGATCAGGGTGCACATTTTTCAGAATGTTCTAAAAATCCAACTAATATTTGTAAAAGGAATATGGATAAAACTGAAGCCCCTGTAACTGTTAACTCAAGACCACATGATAAGGAGTCTGGCTCCACCATGCACGAGCATTCTATAAAACATAAGGTTCCAACTCTTCTGAGAGGTAATGCTCAATTTAACACATTCAAAGCAAAAGCATTCCATAAATCTGAGTGGTCTAAAACCTCGATGAAGAAAAGTATTAACATCTCTGATAGCATTTCACTTTATCTTCAAAGAGTTCAACAATGGAGGGGGGGGAGAAACCACTTTGCTGAATGTTCTCATTGACATATTAAAAACCACTGCAGGTAGATCAGGAAATATTAGAGAATCTCATACACCCATCAATAAAATTTTTGAAATCCTGTAAGCCATATTTAAACATATTTTTTGGTATTTTCGAATTTAATTTGCTTGGTTGCTGGTATACTATGGATTAATTGGTAATAATGTATGTACGTTTGATATTTTAGATTAGTATTTCTGAATGTACTTTTCATTTTTCTTTCACATTTTTTTATGATCCCTTTGAATTCACAATTCTTTTATATATTTATTTTTGAAATGTTTGTATTCTACATTCATCAGTTTAGCAGCTTGCCTTATTTTCATTTACGAATCATATTGTTGCGTGTGTACGGCTTCATTATGAATTGAATGCACAAGTCCGATGAAAAATGAATCAAATTTATTATCGCAAAAAAAAAAAAAAAAAAAAAAAAAAAAACTTAAATTTCCTCAGATATTTGTACAATATCCCAATATCTTACAGTAGTTATCTATTAAACTACCAAAAACGTTCAATAGAACTAATTCAAAATAGAGAAAGCTAGTCCGATTTCATCGCGAATTCACTTCAGTCAACAACAGCAGTTTTCTAAACAAAACTCTTAAAACAACCACTAATGAATTGAGAGGTTTTCATGCAGCTTATATAAGCTTTTTCAATGCATGAGAATTTTCTGGTGTTTTCTCGAAATCAAAAAGAAACATTTATTTATTTATTAAATATTAAATGCATGTGCTCTTGTATCTTTAATTTTCTGGCTTAGCTTTCTCTTAATATTCGTCACGCGCTGCACTGCACGGAAAATAAAACAATTTAATTTATAATTCTACTAGCATACCATACTACATACATATTTAAATACCAAATCTGTAACAATATTATTATGTACATTGTTATCTTCATCTTTATGCACTGTGTTTTGATCAAATTAGTACAGTCAAAAGTCTTTAATGTGAACATCCATAATCCGGACCTCCTACGAACTTTCTGTGCATGCACGTTTAATGTATAACGGTCTGTATAAGCTAAGCTAAAATTATCTATTTTCAGTTAATGTTGCGGATTGCGTTGTTCCTTAATCTTCGAATTGGATCCGGCTTATTTTTTTTGCAGACTGTTAGAGTAATTTTATAAAAGTAAGCTTGAACTTTCGATTATGTCAAAAAATATTTCCGATTCTGGAGCTGGCAGAGGATCTACAAAGCGAAAGCATGTTTCGATGTCCATCAAACAAAAAGTGGAATTGCTGCAAAAATGGATAAAGACATATCCTTTGTTTCTCTAACCATTCCAAAATCTGTTTATCAATTTCACGCTGCTCTGCAGGGGGGTACGTCGCGGCGCGCAATGAATTGGAAGTTGATCTGTCAGCATTATCCTTATCTTCATGGCAGATGTTGTTATTTTATTCGGCTTATAATTCCTTACTAAATGTAGTATTTCATCTCAATGTACTCCGTCTTTGATATGATTTAAATCAAATTCGTCGTCATTATAAATATCACGAATACACATCAAATAGTTTTCTGGTTGCAATTTTCTAATTTCGACTCTGCATAATGTTTGCTTTATGCATGCGCGCGTTGATAGAAATGTTTAATAAAGTAAACAAATAAATATTAAGCTTTTTTTGTGTGTAAATTTTGATACCCTTTAGATCATAATTGCTCTTTATTTCATAAATTAAGGTTTCATATTTTTAATTTTATAATTTCTGCATTACATCTTACCAGATTTAAAGTGATGATCTATAATCCGGAATCGCCCAAGTCCTGACGAGTCTGGATTAAAGACTTGACTGCAGTACCTCATTTATTTCCTAATGATATTTTCACAAACAGCCATGTTTTCGATGTCTCTAGATTCAGGTACTCTGGTGTCTCACCACTTCTGGAGGATGAGAGCAAATGCTTTTACGTACACAATTTCATTAATCTAGTGCTTTTTGATCATTTTTTGTGTTTAATGGATTTTTAACAATACGTATTTATTTTAGTTCATGGATTTTTAGTAATCGCCAATCATATTGTTACTTTTATTTTCCCCTCTGACACCAGTTGTTACGTTATTTTCTTCCTTCACGTTCGTACGGGATTCGTGTGGACTTGGAGTGATTAACGACAACACTTGATGAAGTATCGAAACACACTTTATTTGCCAGTATTGTCAGGAAAGCTCCAAAACACGTTTTACAGTCGTCAATGAGCTACTATAAACACGCTGACATGATCAGCGACATGGTTTTCATGTTATCAAGCTATTACGGTGGAGACAGCTTCACAGCAAAGCACTAGAGAACAGCTCCCGACTCTGCTTGGTCGTTCTCGGAACTCCAAGTATTCTCGAGACTCTCCACGCTACAACTCAACGATGCACTCAATGACACACAGAGCACAGATCCTGACTCTTCGGTTCAGTTATTTCCGGAGCTCAACCCGCTTTCTCGACGATGCACTAACTGCGATACACTATGAGACTCTTTGGGTGCATTCGATCACCCACTTGGCACTCTCTGCTCGATCGACTCCACAGCGATTGACTCGCTAGACGAGATACTAACTCGATACTATCTCACATTCTATGCGAGGCACACTGACTCGCCCTCTCGATGAGGCACATGGTTTATATAGCTTTCGGCTCGTGTTCGAAAACATTCTTGGCTAAACCGGTAAGAATTTGTTCCAGAAGGTTCTCCATCCGTCCACGGCATGTCGCCAAATGTGGCAACCCTGCCTTCCCTTGCCATTTTATTGCAAACCTAAAACTACTTTGAGGGAAAGCTATCTTACCACGCCTGTACATTTTGTAACAATATTAAGTATTCAGTTCAGGTTTATTGTATTTAATTTTTAAGTATTTAAAATTATTTTTAAAAGGCTTAATTTCTGTGTGATTCATATTTTTGGTGTGTCTAAGCTAAATTTTTTCATAATTTGAAGTTAATTTTGAATTTGATTTTAGGTGATGAAGAAAACCCAGGAATAATAACTCTAGCATTACGTCTTTTCTTTGCCTCCATTGAACATCAACTTTCTAACAGAAGCTCTTTTAAGCCAGATAAATTTGCTGATATTAATCACTTGAGTGATGAAGAGATTGAACAAGAACAAAAGCTGAAGGAACAGCTTCTTTCCATGCAGCGAGAGGTAATAAGTTTTTAAGAAATTTTAAAACAAATTATTTCTTTAATATCTTTTGTTTTTAATACTATTGAAATACATAAACGGGAAGAAAATTACTTTGCTGATATTTGTCATGCTATATATAAAACTAAGCCCAAAAAAAAAAAAAAAAAAAAAAAAAAAAAAAATTCTGAGAGGCATACAGTTGGATTTAAAATTATTGATTTCAAAAGCAGCTGACAATTCTCGTTTCAAGGAGTAAAGATTCATCAGCAGTTGAAGGATATATGCTCTAGAAATTGGTTATTTCATACCAATTCTTGATATTGCACATGATTATCAGATTAATTTGAATTCAGTTACCAGGAAGTTTTGAGTCTTATTTATATTTTTAATATTTTAGAGTGGGAACTTGACAGGGTGCTCCATGACTGCAAAAAAGTCCTTTGCAATGTCATTGTGTGAAGCATTTTCTGATAATTTTAAATTTGAAGAGAGAGAAACAACATTGCCTTTCGAAGGTATGTCTAATCTCATCTTCATAGTATATGATTATTTTTTATATGTATTGTTAACTAATATTTCTTTTATATATCATATAGAGATGAGTGCTGCTCAGTCTGCTATGCAAATGAAAGAACTTTGTAAGAAGTGTGCTGATAAACAATCAGGCTGCTGTACTGTTTGGGTTTCTTTTGTTGAAATTTATAATGAAAATGTGTACGATCTTCTTCAGCCAAATATAAACTTGAGAACACGGCTTACATTAGGAGAAGACAAGAATGGTGATGTGTATATTAAAGGTTAGAAATATTGCAACATTTGTTGCACATTTTCCCTTTCTTTTTTAAAAGTTTAGACTTTTAGCACAGGTATTTATTGTTTAGAGATTTAACTCTACCAAACTGTCATTTCCAGGATTCACATTTATACTTTAATTTTCAAAGTACCTTTTGTATTGTAATAATTATCTGAAATATGTTTTCCAACTCAAAATTTGAAGCATTTCCTTATTGAATTTACAACAGATATAAATGCCAATAAATTTCTGCATTCAATTGCCAGTGAAGTAAGAATAAAATGCATCTGTTTTAAGTAGGATAAAATTTGATAACATTTTCATAAAAGTGGATTAAACTTTATAATTGCCTTCCATTTCTGTTAATTATTTTTAGCTCATTCATGTTTTTCATGTAATTGTTATTTTTTAAATTCTTATTTAAGGATTGAGAGAAATTTGTGTCTCAAACTATGAAGAAGCTTTGCGTCTTCTTGATTTGGGACGAAAAACATTGAAAATAGCATCAACTAAGTTGAATTATCAGTCAAGTAGAAGGTATAGTAATTTTTTGAATTATCAGTCAGGCAAAAGTATAGTAATCTGTTGGCATTGTTTTACAATTAACATAAAAAATGAACTTTTAATTTTAGGTTATTCAAAATGAGGCATATGCTTTGATGCATTTGTAGTTTTTGCTTTGTTTCTTAAAATATCCGATGAAGTTATCCGATTAATGTTTTTATGTATGACATAAATTCCAGAGTAAATTTGTGTAGAATAAATCTGTATACTCTTCTGCTATCAGGAATGGATTCAGAAATGTGTGTATGTGCGTATATGTGTGTGTACACACACACCACACACACCTAAGAACATATATACATGTATACATGAACACATCCATCCATACATTTCTGAACCCGGTCCCGATAACAGAACAGTATCTTTTTTTAAAAATTATTTTCAAATAATTTTTTTTTGGATTAGCTGAGAATAATTTACAGCATATATAAAAGATTAAAGTCCTTCCTAATTAATTTATATTGCAAGAGGTGTATTCTCCATTCGAATCTTTGATTTTGTGTCTTGGTTTAACAACTTGAAAGCAGATTGAGGTTGTCTGAAAGCTTCGGCATCTTTTTTTCATGAAAATAATATTTAACTTAACCATTCTTTATATGGTTTATTTATGAGTTTGTTAAAAATAAGAATTTCTTTAATGTTACTAAATGTAAATATTATTTTGTAACTGAGAATATTGTATAATCTGAACATTCTTGGTGCTATTAAGCATCATTCCTTAAACATAACTACTAGAAATTTCCTCACTCCACAGGATTATATCTAAAAGTTCTGTAAGTTTAAAGTTTGACTTCCCCTCCTTTTTTTTTTTTTCCTTCTTCTTATTTTGAGAAAAATTATGTGGTACACTGCGAAAAAAAATGGGACAGCTCATTCTACTGGGCCAATTTACGAAATTCAAACTGCGTTTTTCATGTATCGAAAGCGCGACTTAGGATATGTATTGGATTAAAATATAGCATTGTTCTAATATAGGTATTGTGACACAAAATCGAACTTTTTCTGAAATGACATGCCATTTTTTCCCATATTTTGATTCTACGACTTAAATTATGCCTAAATATTAAATTTGTAAAATTTGGTGCCAAATTTATGGAGAAATTGAAAAATTAATCTAGGTGTATTTTTTCAGTTGCATCAAGATTAATTCACATGGCAAACTTCTTCATATATGGCAACCTATTTTCCTTTCCCTTTTTACATAGTGCATGAGCAGAAAAAAGTCACGTCATTCCTACTTTCAAATAATTTTAACAAAGCGCCTAACCACATATGATGATGTTATCGCTGTCAGCAAATATGCCAAATTTCAAAACACACCAGTATATAAATTCACGTATATCTTCGGACATTTTAAATAAAAAATTATAAATTTTTGCAGGTATGTTTAGAAATACTTCTACTTTAAGGTGATTGTAATAATTTTATAGATTACAATTCAATCTTTTTCCGAAAAATTTATAAACATTATTTAAAAATACAAATTTTTAAAATAAATGATAAAAAAATGGGCAAGTTTTATTTGCAATGTGCCTGAATTTCAAAGTGTGAAAGGAAGAATCAAATAAGTTTAGTAAAAAAGATTAATAAATATGTACCAAATTCAATTAACATTGAGGAGCTAAAATTTTGAGAGCTAATTTTTTAAAACTACTCGTGCAATTTTTACAAAACTTGGCAGTTTGGCATAATTTGAATTGTAGAATCGAAATATGTAAAAAAAATTCGTATATCATTTCAGAAAAAGTCGGATTTTTTGTTAAAATACCTATATTAGAACAATGCTATACAGGCTGATTCGAAATTACTTTTACAAATCAAGTGGGGGGATAGAGGCAGATGAACAATAATTTACCATTGAACATAGGGTCGCATTCCGTTTTTAAAGGCAGAAAAGAAGAATATTAGAATTCCAATCTGAACTTACAACATTGTTGGGAGAGTGAATGAACGAGACCAAATGTTGCACAATTAGTTTAGTGACAAACTCAGAGAGTGCACAAAGTGGATAAAACCGAAATGCACATCTTTGATTGGCAAGGTCTCAACCTCGCAAACGATTGCAACAAGTTAATTATGTAATTAAGGGCTGAATTTTATCAACTAACTCCAACGTCTGCTGCATGCCAATAGCATGTAAAGCTCATGCTGCGTTCTAGCTGTCAGAACTTTGTGTCCCATAGAAAGCGCTTCAAGATGATCTCAGAATGTAAGGATCTTCACGCCAGAGTTCTAGTCCAGGAAGACAGGATAGAAGATGGCTAACAGAAAAACAACTGCTACCTTGATACTTGATATCAAGGTAGTTTACCTCCCTAATAAACAATTTCTGCTTAATAATTTAGATTATTGACTTGTTGCAATCATTTGCAAAGTTGAGACCTTGCCAACCAAAGATGTGCATTTGAGTGTAAAGGCCTGTCTACACGAAGTGATTTTTCTCGGCTGACTTTCTCGTTGAGCAACAATTTTAAAGATCTGTGCATGTGCTAAAAATCGGACGTGTTCTCTGCCGCAATTTCAGAACTGGTGTTCACTCCTCACTAGCGTACGATAAAATCGGAGTCTAGCCAATAAGATTGCTTTGAGTGATCACATGCTTTTCTTCTCATTTGGAATAATAAACAGGGTTGTATTTCGTTGGAGCGAAACTCAAAATTTTTCAACTAATAGATTTCTATAGAGAAAATGTTGTGTTGTGGGACACGAGTAGTGTAAATTTTAAAAATAAAAAATTAAGGGATTCTCTTATTTTGTCTTCTCCATTACTTTATATATTCAAATATTTTCTATTTGGGATGAAAATTATTTTAACTATCCCAAGAAAAGTTCCAAAAACTATTAATGATGCCATGTCATGGGTACTAGATAAAAATATTCAAAAACTACTTGAAATTGTGGTTGCACTTATTGAAAAAATTCAGAAAGCAAAATCTCCAGTCGAGAAATTACGAGACGGATTTAAAGCAGATCGGAGACTCGTTGACTTCGCTGAAAATGTGAGTTTATCAGCTGACGAAGTACATAGTTTTTCCAACACCTCCATGCGAGCGATCGTAGCTTAGTGGTAAAGAGCAGAACAACTTTATCTCCAGACATCAAGATCATTTGTTCGATCCCCCACCTTAATTTTGGACATTCTGCGCCTGCAAGGACTTTTTAATTTCACTTATCTTTAAATTCGAACTGCATGACTTAAAAGTCACTTTTTAATTTTTCGCCTACAAGTGTGGTGTTTATTGAATTTTAACACCTTTCTTTTTATTTTTCGAATGGCCTTTGGCACGTGTTTTAGATCGACTGGTGAAAACTTTAGTAGTTTCATACCACCTTAAAAAGAAAGTCGCAAACTCAGTTTTGTGTAAACAAATTACAACCCAATTTAATACAATATTGCTAAATTTTATTAGATGATTAACTGATAGAGTCATATGATAACAGTTTTTAGACTGTATTAGTTATTTAATTATGCTGATATTAGTTTTTTTAATTTTCAATATTTTGCACCTTAAGACCTTGCACCTTTATGATATTTCTTATTTGAAATTTTTGCGCTCAAATTACACTGTTGCTTTGTAATGTAGTAATCTTTATTCTTTATTATTACTTTTTACTCATACTGGTTGGATTTTCATAACATTGTCTATTTATTCATTAATAAAGGTTTTGATATAGACCACAGTAGTTATTTTTTCTGAAACATGGTTATTTATTATTTCAAGATTTAAGTGCACAGATAGGAGTGCTAGAAAATGAAATTTAAAAAATAAATAAAATAAAAAGTAATCTGTGTACTCAGTACACAAAAGAAAAGCATATTTTTTTAAAAAAATTTGCTGCAAACTAAATTTAGTAAAAAATCGAAATCACGCGGCATGATCCGTAAATACTTTCCGAATTGTACCGTGTCTTCAATACGCAACTCCCAGAGCAGGGTATTACACTCACCATGAATTTCTCGTTGTTTGACCCAATTTCTGGTCCAAATACATCCCCTCTGCTAAATTCAAAATTGTAGCTATATCTATAGTAGCAATTTAAAGTAAAATAGTCATCCATTTTTTAACTATTGCAGAACACCGTAAGCTTTGTTTACAAATCGTAGACAGTCTGATGCTGTAGAGGATGGAAACACTCCCTTTCACAGTGATTGGCTGAGTGAATTCCTGTACTAACAAGAAAATCGTTCCTTGTGGACAGGCGAGCTATCTCAGATATTGTTGGCCAGCTGAGTTGGCCGACGAAATCGATATGTGTACACAGGCCTTAAGCCATCAAATTCTCAGCTCTAATTAACACTCAAATGCCAAGTTTTCATTTTATCTGTTTTGTGCACTCTCTGTGAGTTTGTCACTAAACTGATTGTGCAACATTTGGTCTCATTCATTCGCTCTCCAACACCATTGTAAGTTCAGATTGGAATTCTAATATTTTTCTTTTCTGCCTCTCAGAGGGGGATGCGACCCTCTGTTCTATGGTAATTGTTGCTCATCTGAATAAGTACTATCATTTCTCTTAATTTGTAATAGTAATTTAGAATCACTTTGTATATAAATCTAATACATTTCCTAAGTCGCGCTTTCGAGACATGGAAAACGCAAGTTGAATTTCATTAATCGGCCCAGTAGAACAGGAGATATAGAGCTGTCTCCCCCCTTTTTTTTGCTCAGTGTACCTATATGGGTAAAATGTAATTAAATTTTTTGCATTTTTAGCTTTAGGTATTTGCTAAAAAATCTTGTTTTATCTATATGAAGTATTGCGTTTTCAAAAATTAGTTTGAACTCTGACAGTGATATTTTATATGTTTTCAAAGTGTAAAATGTGTGCTCTGGTACAGGGCTGTCCAACTGGCGGCTTGCGGGCCGTAAACGGCCTGCCAAATTATTTTTACAGCCCGCGAGTACATTTTTCTATTAATAAATTTGTTACTAATTTATTATTATTAATATTAAAATTATTTTACTACGTGA